TGAGTGATTTGAATTATAGCACGATGTGAACTGAGTTACTATCATTTCCAAGTTAGCAAACCGGAAACACTTGTGGGATATAATAACAGGGTTTTATGCTTGGAGATCTCAGCCTGGGTGTTGGGGGCCAGGGATTTTGGTGGCTAAGTATTTCTTTCAGTATATGAAGTATATACATTTTATTGGAAGAGGAAAATTGGCAAGCACTACATAATTGTTATGGATCTGTTTGGCAGACTTTCTGGGTTACTTATTTAGATTTGGATTTAAATTTAAAAAGTCAGTGAAGTAAAACACATCTAGCCACTACCAGCAAAATGAACTGTGACATAGCTCAAGAGAAAGAAAGCCTTGAAAGTTGATGATGCTTTAAATGTGTATAAAGTGTTTTCTGAATTAAGTGGTAGTAAATTTGTGGTAATTCAATAATGGAACGATGGCTTTTCTTCCAAGTTTTACCTGTAAGGTTTTGCAATTGAGGCACAATTTTATTTCAGTCAATTTATGTTATTTTTAAATTCTATCTATCTATCTGTGCATTTTCTCTATCCTATCTCTCTATCATCCTATTTTTCTGTCTATCTACCTTATATCATCTATCTATCCATTGGATCTATCTATCATTGCCATGACTTGTGTCAGTGGCCCCCAAGCCTCATGCAATTATGCATTTGTTATTGGTTAATTGTCTAGCACTTAAGACTGGTGGTGTGAGTGCTACACCTGCCTCTGGGCAAAGCCAGGATATGATGTAAGGGAGGAAAGAAGGTGTGTGTGCCTCTCTCTTGCTGGTTTCCGCTTTGCTATTTGCAGCTGCCATGAACCATGGCCCTGCCGTGCCAACCTGCCTTGGAGCCAACTAAGTCTAAACTAAAACCTCCAAAAACTATATTAAAAAAAACCAAAAAAAAAAAAAACAAAAAAAAAAACCTTTCCTTCCCCAACTTTGGGCCTCAGGTATTTTTTCTCAGCGATGAGTAAAAAGTAACTGAGACAGTTATCTATCTATCTGTCAATCATCTATCCATTCTATCTCTATCCACCCTGTCTGTCTACATATCCATCTGATCTGTTATCTATCAATCTATCTACCATATATCCATTCTATCTCTCTATCCATCCTATCAGTCTATCCTCTATGCATTCCATCCATCCTATCTATCTATCTATCTATCCATCTTCTCTCTCTCTCTCATATCTCCATCCATCCAGCCAGCCATCCAGCCATCCATCCATTTGACTGAGGACTAAACCTAAGGCCTTTACATCTCCAGCCATCCCTTTTGAAATTTTTTGAAACAAGGTCTTGAGACAGCCATCAATTTTCCCCAATGTCGGCTCAAACTTGAGATTCTCCTACCTCAGCGTCCAAGAGTGCTAGACTACAGGTGTGTACAACCACCCTTGGCTTACATTTGACTAATCATTAACAATCAACTTGATGTAGCATCTAAAACTCCAATTCAAGCCTTGGAATCACTCACTTTTTAGCTAATGTTTCCAGGCTTCTTCCTTTTGTTAATACAAAGACACAAAATGTTTCCCTTGTATTTAACTATAGTAACATATTATCACTTTGGCATATATTAAATTTAGAATGTCAGAGGGATTATTATGTCTCTAAGATAAAAATACTCTTTGAGCTTCACATCTCCTTATGGTATCATATATAAAAATCTGGAGTTCTTTCAAGCCTTTGTTTTAAAATGTTAAAATGCACCTAAGCATTCCCACCTTCAGTCTACCATACACCTCAAGCTTTTTGGAGGAAAGAACCTGGTGATACCCTGGGGTCAATGCATGCCGTCATCGCTGTGACTGTTGGCTGATGTCCTGTTTCCACTGGCATTTCCATTCCCATCCACATAACAATTAAGAAGAGAAGATTAATGAGATAACTGTCATTTTGTAAAAGAGGTAGAGCTCCCCCTCCTTTTTCTGGCCCTACCCAAAGATTGCAATCATGGTAAAGATGTGTGTATTAGACTTACATGCCTCTATCATGGTGCAAGATGCCCTATTTAATAGCCTAGGTTCAATGAGGCATCTGTGCGAGGAGAGAGTAGATTGCCACATCATTTCATCTGGGAGGAGGTGTGGACAGCACTTGGGCACAATATGACCAGCTGTTCCCAGCTGTTACCAGGTGATGGAGAGCCATCTTTGGTCACCACTGAGAGGCCCTTGGCAACATGCTGGCAGTTGTACCAGGGTGTCACTAGGTACTGCCCATAACGAGCCCTACTCATGAGTATGCAGGAGCACTGGGTTGCATGACATTCACCTTACACCTTGTTTCTGTCTACCAGTGCTGCCCCATTTATTTGAACCACTGACCTAATGTGAAGTCTGTGGAAGATTGAAAACTTCACGGTCAACTTAAACACCACCTGAACTGAATTAGCACGTGCTGAGTGTGGATGGCCCACCTGAGGATTGTTGCCAGCATAAGAGGAGACCTGGAGAGGAAGAGTTGTTGTTGTTGGGTGCTGTTGGTTCTCCTGCTGCTGTGGGTTCTCCTGGAGGAACTTATTGAGCTTCTCCCCTGATATGAACTTGGTTGTTCTCATCATCAGAGGAGCTCGGGACCTTGATGTTGCTGAGGGTGGCTGTGGTTCACTTTGGCGGTGCTCTGGTCCTTATGTTGAGCATCACTTCCTGGCTCTGTAGGGGAAGATGTGTGCTGTTCGATCTCCAGGAGAAGCTCGTCATGTTGGCTTCCTGATATCAGCTCAGCTGTTCTCATTTTCAAAGAAGCTCGGGACCTCCCTGTCATTGAAGGTGGCTGTGGTACTTTCCAAGAGTATTGGTCCTTATTTTGAGCATTACTTATTGGTTGCAGTGCAGAACCCTTAGCCCACTGGCACAGATCCTTCATTCCTCTGGCACACACTTTCTGGCTTCCACCACTGGCTTCCACTGGGCCTTCTCAGTGCAGATCTGTGAAACAGACTTGCATGAGTCACTGTCATGGGCTCTAGGCCTCCAGCTGCACTCATGCAGGATATTACCATGGGATCCAGGCCCTCAGCTGGATCTTTAGTATGTGGACAGATTTCCTGTACTTCCTTTGTATGTGACTCCTTGGGTGACTATACTATAAAAATACTATAAATTCTGTGCCCTGTGTTATCTTGTTCTCACAAATCCTTGGCTACAACTGTATTAAATAAACAGAAATCCCCTCTTGGGTATCTTTGAACTTAAAGCATGAGAGTTCTTATCCAGGTTGTGGTCCAATGATAGGAGACGGTTAGACCCCATCTTTTGCATAGTCTTGGGTATATAGAGGGTAACATAGATAAAAGCTCAAACCCACTCAGGACTGATATGTGTGCACAGAGGATTCGGAAGCAGATGTTCATCCCTACATTGCTGGGATCAGTCCCATCTAGATAGGAAGGGAGAAAGTGGGGTACCACCACACTCCGGAAAAGCCAAGACCACAGTATACAAAAGGTATCTGGATAATTTCAGGGAAGGCTGACACTTTTATCTGGCTGAGCAGGCATATTCCAGGTGACAGTGGATTTAGAAACATATGCTTAGGGTGGGACCACCATTATGGTGACACTCATCTTCCATAGAGGCAAGAAGAGGGTTAGAGTGGAACTGAGGATTAAGGACGATTTTTATTGTGCTTATTGCTGTGTTGGGGATAGAACCCAGGGCTTTGTGCAAGCCAGGCCAGTACTTGATCGCTGAGGTACACCTCCAGGTCCTATGATGGTGATCTTATCAGGTGTTTTCTGTAAAGCAAAAAGATAGGGCTGGCTTGGGGACCAAGGCTGCATGGATCATCTTAGCCATTCTATAGCAAATCAAAGAAGAGCCAAGCACAGACCTGCTTTTGCTCTCTGAGCGGTGAATATTTTATGAGCCTCTATTCCTGTTTAGTTCGACCACAGGAAAAAACCAGGAGCATCCCCTGCCTGCAGCTCTTATCTTGGGCGAGATTGAAAAGCTGTTCTAGACCCTTTTTCCTGAGGAAAAATAAGCATTTGATGACTGGTCCTCCATGCTCCTCGTGCTTTTTTAGTATCATATCTCTGTGGAGTCTCAAGGGCTTGTCATATTTGCTAATGCTTGATGAATTCTGGGATCATTCAGAATGTTACCAAGCAAGATGCCCTTCGGAACTCAACTAGTGCATAGATAGCGTAGGTGCACATTGCTGTATAAAGATCCAGGTTCTTCACCAGATTCATTTGTAGGCAGATCTATATTGATAATAAATTCTGTGTGTGGTTGACTGTAAGAGCTGATATCATGAAGATACATTCAACCTAGACCTAGACCTTGTGGAAATGGGCAGGAGACTGGGGATGAGGGTAGACAGGAAGGAAGAAAGAGCAAGGGAAGGCAAAAGTGATTCAGATGCAACCTGTGAATGTACCAGTTCCTTAGGACAAATGTATTGTATATCACAAACACACTAAAAAAAAGAAACTAAAAGAAAATCAAAAGGCTTAGACAACTCTGATATGTTGCCAATACTATGTTACAATTATAAAACTAATACAGGTTCTATGGGGTCACAGGTAATGTATTTAATTTGTATTTTATAGTACATGAAGAATTAAAGTGATTTGCTAGAAAATATTTAATGCATCTGTTTCAGAAGGGCCCTTCAAATTGTACTTCACGTGTTTTGTACATATTTATACTCATGTTTTAGTTTGTTGTTCTTTCTCAGCCATTGAATCCAGCCTCATGCTGGACACCGAGCCAGACCCTAACTGTATAATTTTTTTCACTACTGTCTTTGAGCTGAGATACAAAGGAAAGTTCTGTGAATGTGGGTCCATGTGCAAGGTCATAATCTAAAATCATAATGCATGGGCCTTATTCTTTTGGGAAATTTACGATTCAGTGTCATTTTGCTGGAGGCTGAGAAAAGACATGCATCACTTTTGTAAAAGATCCAATGGAATTTTTCACAGTACAAAACGTGAAACTTAGAATTAAACAAATTGTTTTTTTTTTCTCTTTTCCAACAGCCTCTGTTCCCCAAGAAGAACTATGAGTGCTTGACCAGCTGTGAGTTCCTCAAGTACATCCTCCTGGTGAAGCAAGGAGATTGCCCGGCCCCCGAGAAGGCTAGTGGCTTTGCAGCTGCCTGTGTGGAAAGCTGTGAAGTGGACCAGGAGTGCTCAGGGGTGAAGAAGTGCTGCTCTAACGGCTGCGGACACACTTGCCAGGTGCCCAAGACTCTGTACAAAGGTAAGAACAGCGCAGAGGCTATGAAAGACCTTTCATAGTGCTAGGTATATATACCTAGTGCTAGGTATAAATATTAATTAAAGCACTCATGAATCTTAGAAATTAGCCACAATAAGCTCAAGGCGGGGAGAATTAGACATAAATGTTTACACATATATGTAGAATAGTAGAAATCTGTGCACTTCATTTTGTATATAGTTTTTTGCCTAGAAGAATTAGTCAATTAAGCTATGCTGGGTACATTAGAATAAAAAAATTCAAATCTCTGCAAATAGCCTGGAGTTGAGGCTCACACTTGAAAAATGCACAGTGGATGTACTTGTAGTATGGCTTTTCTGGTGGCAAAATCCAAGGGCAGGAGTGTCATTGTGCAGATCTTAAATATTTTGATTAGTGTGTTGAGGTTCTAAACAGAGGGATTTCTTTCCCTCTTCCAAAAGATAAGGACTCAAGCGACCCCACATTGCTTCAAATATAATAGTTTACATTCAAAAGCAAATTGTGGCGCACTTAACTTCTTAAGTTTAAGAGCTTTTTCTTGACAGCTAAGTTCCCTCATGCCAACTGGTTCTGTTATACCAACCTACCAAGTTATACTCTGACACAGAATATTTTGTTAACTTTTTGGCCTAATGTGAACAGTGAAATGGAATTTTATCAGTAAGCATTTTTTGTTACAGGTGAAAAAAGAGAACTAGCTATGTCTTTTTTCCCTCACTCACTGTCTTAATAATTATATGCCCAATTATGTTATTTATATTTGCTGTTAATTTTTAAAATAAAATATGCATATACTAACAGTGAACAGTGTCCACTAACACTACTAATTTTCAGTTATGTCTGGCTCTTTTTAAAAGTCTCTTACACTCATAATAATGGCACTTATACCAGAAATACTATAGCTGCCCTATCTCCGTTTAACTCTGATTCTGAAATAAGCTCCTCTGAAATTGATATAATCCAGGCAATTTTCTTTTTTATAAACTGTTACCTAGGGTTATTGGGAACTCAATGTAAGTATCATGTCCTAAATTAAAACTAGTTACCATTTTTCCTGTACCAAGCAATATTTCTTTAATGGATTGAAAGTGCTTTCACATTTGTAAATTTTATCAAATTATTTTTGTAAAATCTAAAATCATTGAATTTCTAAAATGTCAGCTATTATGAAAACTTTCATATTATTAGAGTTCACATGCTATTTATTATTAGATTTTACTATAAAAATAGGATGTCTTTAGAATTTAAGCTTATTTGTAAATCTTGTAATGTTTTAAATGTGGGGCATTTTGAAAAGAAATATAAATTAAAATATTCAGCTTTTATAAGAAGTATTGAGGGTTCTTATGAATTTCAAATATGTCTGTTTCACCAATAACAGGACTCTTCTGCGAAAGGCGAAAATAAATGCTTAATTATGTAGAAACTTACACTTCAAACTATGATTAAGATGGACTTTTTTAAAAATCCTGAAATTACTTTTCTTTGCCGGGGATCAAACTCACAACCTTGAATTTGCCAAGCAGACACTTACGCCACTGAGCTAAATCCCTGCCCCCAGATGTTACTTCTCTAAAAAGACCTAACAAAGTACCTCTTAACTTTGATTTTTGTGGGGAGCAGGAAGTTATAGAGGACTAATAGTACTGCTAGAGCCTTTGCATGGTAGCAGGTTGAGGCCAGTCTGTTGTTATTTGAACACTCACACACACACACACACACACACACACACACACACACACGCACACACGCACATGCACACATGCACACACAGTGTGATCAAAATATATGGTGGGTATTTACATAAAAAAATTTATTACAATGAGAGGCATTTCCAGGAAGCCCCCTCAAAATTGTTCTGCTCACTTCAAATACACTGTATTGTTTTTGCCGCTTTCTGAAGCAATCCTGGAAGGGTCCTCTACTGAGTTTCTTTACAGCTGTGATCAAAAGCATCACACATGCTGCTGCTCAGTGATGCCCCATGGCAAAGCAGGCTGGCAAAAACACGGCACAGTGGTGACGGTCTCTCTTCGGCCCCTTCTTCAATGGGTCTGGCCCTGAGCAGCTTCTGACTGTTCCTCTACGGCAAAACGACTGTGAAAAGTCCACACGGTGGATGGACTCAGGACATGGAGGGAGCCACAGCAATGTTAGGAAAGATGCAGAGAGGACTTCCCGAGCTGCTTCAGAAAGTACCAAGAATGATGGGATGATTGTGATTGAAACACTGGATGTTATTTTGAAAGGGATCCATGGCAATGTGACTTTTACTGTAACATTTCCCATTTAAACATTCATTGTAGTTTTTGATCATAACACACACACACACATATGTGCACATAGACATACAGTTAGACATTTTCTGTCCGTTGCTCAAGTAGCCCTTCAGGGAAGGCTGCTCTGGTCTCCACGCATTCCCATCAGCAAATAAATTAGGGTGCATGACAGAGGGAGGTCAGGTAGGACCACTCACCGTTCCAAGACTCTCAGCTAACCACTTGAGATGCTATTGACATTGTCCCCCGCTAGGCCAGCCAGTGGCTTTCTCACTCTCAGAAAGGAGCCTCCTGCCAGTAGCCAGGGCTCAGGGAGCACTTCAGGGCTGATCCTGCCCCAGGCTCCTCTAGGAGGCAAGCAGGGCCCAGGCATTGAACGCACAGATCCGCCTTGGCCACCTCAGGCTGCTGGGTGTCTGTGTCTTCCCCCACAACAGCCTTCTTGTCGTCCTCAAACTGGATGAAGCAGGCCTCCCTGCTTCTTGCTTCTTCCTCTTGGTCTAGGCAATCCTTTTCCTGCACAGGTGGGATCTGTGGTTGGATGAGATAACCCACCCTGCACTCAATCTGCAGTTGTGAAGCTGAGTATTTGACTGATGGTAGGAGAAATGAACCCTACACCTGTTCCCTCTGGGCAAGCTCTCCTGTCGGTTTTGTTCAAACTGTATCCAGGGAGTGGAAGAGGATGGTGTACCAGAGCTGTCACTGGGCCTCCCTGTATTCTTACAGAAGAGGTCAACCGAAAGTGAGGCCATTAGCCAATTATTTCCAATATGGGGAATGCAACCAAGCCCTTCACTAAGCTACATTCCCAGCCATTCTAGGATTTTTTGATGAATAAAATCAGTAGTTTATCAGCACTTAGAGCTAATGAATAGCATAGCATTTCTCCATTAGATTTATTGTCAATTCCTTTGCAGACTTGAAGCACCTTAAGTTAACTCTACAGTGGACATTATGGAGGATCGGACTTTATTGCACAAATATTGAGTAAATTGCAGCCTTCCCATCAGCTTGTCGTTTATTGGTTATTGAAATTATTAAAGCGCCATCACATAGCTGGTTGGTGTCTGCAAGTCCTGAGGAACATTTGCTTAATTTTCCCCTTGTTTAAGTTTGAGAGGAGCTGATGCCACCCGCATCTACTGCTACTAATACGTTGGAATAGAATAAACATTTGTTTATTGCGTCTGGTTTGCAGTGTCCCATAAAGGGCCTTGGGGGACAAAGCTGTCTATAAAACCATCTGTCACCCTGCCTGCTCTTGCATTACTGAGCTAATTATGCATACTGCACTTATTTAAATATGCAAATTATTTTCTTAATATCTGAAAAATTGAAACCCCTACAATGTCTTTCACGCCATCATTTATGAGTTTGGTTTTAAAAAAATTTTTTAGTTATAGAAGCATATGCTTTCTGTTTGATTTGCTGTGTTTGTGGAAAGAAAGATAGGCACACATTTTATAGCTTCAAAAGTTTATATACTGAAAAGTTGGGTTTTTGTGAATAATTAATTTGAGCCACAAAATTTTCCATTATTTCCAAGTATTGAATTTGGATTATTCTGGAAGAACTACCCTTAACTGATGGCTCCATGTAAGCCACCTTTACTAAACTTGTAATATGGTTTGAAACAGGCAACCAGGAGCTATTCTTCTATTTTCAATTAAAATGATGAGCAAAGCAATGAATGTCATACAGAACTAGCATGCGGGAACTAATGTTATGAAAAGGAAACTTTAACATAGTTGTGGAAAGTTTCAAAAGCTTGTCTCCTATAGTTTAGACCACAAATGGTTGCTTTGGGCTTCGTTTTATCTTCCTTCCTGTGTGAAGCTGAGTTTATGGTAGCTTAGGTTTCTCTCCAGAAGAAGAAATGTTTAATTATTTTGCTGGCAAATCCCACTGGCTTTTCTGGCTTCATACCATGGCAATCGGTTGAGGAGGAGAAAAGTTGGTTGAGAAGGAGAAAAGTTGAAGATTTGAACAAAGACTCAGACTAATTAGTACTTTTCTGCTGTGCATATTTTTCCTTTGTGATAGACAAATCAAGGATTAATCATATAGCATTTTTCCTGCAAAATCTTGACCATTGAATTCAATTACTATTTTCCACCAATATCTCACTGTTTGAAATTTAAAGTTCACGCCTTTGGAGATGGGCTAGTATTTCTCACAAATGAATTTTTAGTGTTCTGAATCTGGTAGTTCAATGCCATGACATGGTATGCATACAAATTCCAATAAAATAAATTCCAGTGCTATCTTTATAAGCAAGTACATAGTGGTCAATTATTGAATTGCTAGAACATTACATTCTACTACATTTTCACATCATTCAGAATCACAACAGAAACATCTTTGCTCTTACAATAAAATCTGGATATGCATATGGACCTGTTGATTATCTATCTACCACTACTCATTTTTCTCCCAGTCTACTTTCAACATTTTTCAAACCACTGGATTTCTATTTTTGTTTTTTCTTTACTCCATCAAAATACATTTTGCATTGTAAAGAAAAAATAACATGCCTCTTTCGTCTCCTCTTATGGAGGCACATATGATAACATTTAAAAATTCTTCGACAGAATAGTTTAGCTTTCACATGACTAATTTGTTCAAAACTCATTTTCAGAAGAAATAGTCTAATCACTTGCATAAGAGAAACCACAGAGAGAAGAGACCCGGTTACACATCTGGTTCTGTGATCTGGAGGCGGGTTCAGTCTTCAGGACCTGAGCTGGCAAGTGGGGGCTGGAGGTCTTGGGGGCCAGAGTCCCATCTGCATGCAATTACCACGAAGCCCTGGAGTTCCTTCCAATCAAGGGAGCCCACGAGCCCTAATGCAAAGCAGATGGACCATTTCTTAACAAGTGAATTGCAGGAGGGTCCACTGGCATAGCTAAAGAGAGGTGTAAATGAAGAAATTTGGACGACATTGTCCTTCTGACCCGTGAAGGTCATTGGTGATTGCATGGTATTCCAGATTAACACCTTGTAGTTAGAGACACTGATGCTTGCATTTGCTTCTGGTGATTTCAGGTTAGTTGAGCATCTCGAGTGTCCATAGGAGCGTGGTCATTCTAGAGGATTAGACATTGGACAGCCAAGGAGACAGGCGGGTTTGGAAGTCTCAGAAACTACTTTCTAGGCGTTTGCAGAATTAATTAATCATCTCCTAGACCATGCACAGAGAAATCAAGTGAATCATGAAATATTCTCATAATGCGTCCTAAACTCAGTAGAATTGTCTAGCACCTGCCTGGCTATCTTGAATATAAAAATCACCTATCGGGGCTGGGGATTTAGCTCAGCGGCATAAGCGCCTGCCTTGCAAGCAGACAGTCGTGAGTTCGATCCCTGGTACCGATAAAAATGAAAAAGACAAAAAAAAGTGTTAAAAAAATCACCTATCATGGTTGTTTTGATCCAATTTTGCTATTTGACTTTATTCTTCACATGAGAAAGAGGTAATCATGAATTAAAACTGGTCATCAATTAGCTTCAGGATTTCCATCCTATCTGGACTTTTTTTTTTTTTAAATATGGGAAAAACCTGTGGCCATTGTAACAAAACTATCTTATACTGAATTTTTTTTATGATACAAAGGATTGAACCCAGGGCCTTAGCACTGAGCTCCATCCCTAGCCCCCTTTAATTCTTTATTTTGAGGCAATCTCAAGCTTGTCATCTCAGCCTTCTGTCTTCCAAGAGCAGAGATTACAGGCATGTGTCCTGTGCAGTACAGGGTTACATTATAAACTTTTGCATTGCATTTGCATGTGTATGTGTGTGTGTGTATGTGTGTGTGTGTGTGTCTGTGTGTATGTGTGTGTACTGCAAATCGAACCCTGCATCTTTGCATTGAACTACCTTCTCAGTCCTGCTCTTATTTGAATTCATCATTTGTTTTCTATTTTGAGACAGAAGCTCACTAAGTCATCCAGTTGTACTTGCTGGGCTCCAACCTGCTATCATCCTGCTTTAGCCTCCCAGACCACTGGAATTATAGGCATCCACCACCACAGCTAGCAATCTCTTGGTATTTAAAAAGTGAAAGTGATGGAGAGAGATATTTGATGCACTGGGAAGGCAGTGCTGAATTCCTGTGATAAGTTTCTCCCATCCCTAAACCACCTTTGAGCTGCGAGGAGCTGTGGTTGATGCAAAGGTTTGAGTAGGTATTTCAGTACCCTCCTATTTCCCCTGCCTCATTCCTGAGTAGAGAAAAATTAGAGGAAGCTGTTCCTCCAGCCAACATTTGCTTTATATTTGCAATTGCAGAGAGTTCTCCTGGGGACATTGTGATGGCCCAGGACAGAGACATGGCTCTCGACCTCTGCACTGTCATTTGTGGGGGAAGACAGATGTCCTAAATGAGCATTTTGCAGCAAGGAGCAGTTAAATGTGCATACTGACAGTAACAGGCTCAGCCTTCAAAAAGGGCGCAAGAATGGGACCTTTATTTCCATTGGGAAATTTTAGGAGAAGTGTTACAGGGGGGCTGCATTTGGTCCAAGCCTGAAAGTATTTAAGTGTCTGTAGCCAGAAAATAGACTTGAAAGATATTTCAGAGTTTAAGAGATGGAGCAGGCTATGGTCATAAGAATGACCTGGCTGTGTAATTTTCTAGGGAAGCTGGGTTTAAATACAGGCTCTGCGGCAAAAGTGTAAGAAACACCCTCTGATAAGCTAAAAGATAAATGGGAGGTGATCATAGAGATGGGGAGACAGAGAGAAGTTCACCTTCATTTTAGGGAAATTAAGATGCAAGTAGAGGGCCGGGGAGCATGGAGGAGAGTCTACCTTATAATTTAGAAAATAATCACGGTATGCCATGACGAGCGAATTAATTAGCAGAGAGACCAAGAAAGGGATGCGCTTGAAGACTGTTGTGAAAGTCAGGGCAATTGAGGAATGAAGGAAAGGAAGGTCAGTGGTCACCATGGAGAGGGACAATTTCCCCATCCCTGGAATCGTGCTATGCATGTGAACAGCTACATGGTGGTCAGTGCAAGAACAAATTAAAAAAAAATAATTCCACCCTAAGACACTGCATTGTCCTAATGATGCATATCACAGAGTGGGGAGAAGAAATTAAGATGGAACTTGTGCAGAGAAATTTAACAGTTGGGGGGAAATACTGGCTTTCACCCTAGTCAGGGACTGGGGATAGGACTGTGAATCGTTTGCTTAGCAGAGGTAATCTAGCCATGAAATGTAGCCTTCTTTCTAATTTACGAGTTTATAATACAAGCCTTTGCAAAAACCTCAAATAATGACTGAACAGGAACCGGGCCTGACTTAGTAAAAATCTGTGCCCACCAGGAGCTCAAGGCACATTATAAACCAGTTGTTGAAAGAATTTGCATATCTACCAAAAGTCACTTCTTTTCTCCACTTTTCTGAGTGGTTTTGCCTAATTTGAAATATAGAAAGAGGTAGAGAATGGAAAGAAGAACCTGAGATCGGGTCCTAGCTCCAGGCAACTTAACCAATAGTCTTCATTGATGACTCACCTGTTGCACAGAGTCACAGGACCCGGTGAGGCGAATTTATGGTAAATTAACCAGCCGTTTGTAGCCATAACCCAACTGCAATGCAAAATGGAAAACACCACAAGGATGGTAAATGTTTTCCCCAGAAAACACTTCTTTAAAAAGAAAAATCAGTGACCTTTGGTGCCTATATAAATCTGCATTTTAAATTACCCAACTACTCCACTAAACACTTGATGAGTTTTTAAACTTCTTCAGGACATGATTTCAGGTCAAAATGAAATGCAATGGAGCATCAGCCCCAGCTCCAGTGTGCATCATCAGATCTTGGCCACACTTTGTGTTTGCATACTTTTCAGAATTCTTTTTATACAGGAAGAATGGAAAAATAAGCAGAAGATTGTGAACTGGGCTTTTCAAGTGAGTTTTCAGTGCTTTGACAAATGCCTGGGCTTGGTCGAAACTGATGTTAATGATGAGCAGTGTTCTTAGTATTATAATGCCATTGGTTGTACCTAATTCACTGAGTTCTTTCTATATATCCTGTTGGTATTATAAATTTCTTTTCCCCCACTTAAAGTATATGCAGGTTTCCTGGTAGCTGAATAACTTTAAAACAATAGTTCTAAATACTAGGCCTTCCTGTAGGTATTTGAAAGGAACCAGAAAGAAGCCAGATGTGGTCATGTACCCCTGTAATCCCAGTATTCTGGGAGGCTGAGTCAGGAGGATGGATGGCATATTTGAGCCCACCATGGGCAACTTAACAGTTTAGAAAGAGGCTGTCTTTAAGTGCATAAAAAATAAAAAGAAGTTTTAGTTGGGGATATAGCTTAGTAAGAAGGTTCTTGGTTCAAAATCCTTTTAAAAAAGAAATCAAAATTATTAACTTCTTTAGAACGAGCCACCTGCAGGGGACTTTGGAGGCAAGATGCTCCTTCACGCCAAAAGCAAGCATTCTAAATTCATCATTTTTCAACTGCAATCCATTAAGTCAATAGGGGAACCCCTGAGCAGCCTATTAGGAATCCAAAAGGCCCCACACTTCAGAGAGCTCATGTGTGAGATCTGTCCACATGAGATTTAGCTTTGCCACTTTTGTTTTCTTTCTTTCCTGAAAGGGAAAATTTCCTTAGATGGCCAAGACAGCAAACCATGGGACCATGTTCTAATGACCTTAGAATGTAGTCATAGAAACAGAACATATTAGACATGGAGAAAGGACTCAAGCCTCTCTCTAAAGGCCATTCGTTGTGTGAAATCCCTGTTAACCTCAAATGAAGAACCTCTTAATGCTATTAACTCACTACCATGCACATGGAAGGGTGATGCTGGGAGAAAAAGCTGTGTTAGACACAGCGGGTGACACTGACCACCTATAAGGGGTAAGGAAAAGCAACAAGAAACAGGTCCAATTGTCTTAATTTGGGATAGACTGGACTTGGCACCAGGAGACTTCTACCATGAAATGTGATACATAAGGGCCACTCTTCTGGAAGCAAACATAACATCCACTATCAGCAGGTGGGATAGCTCTCCTCCGTGGATTTTCTCCTTTCCCTCTTCCTTCCATTGCTATCCCATGCAGGTTATTTTAACCAATGTAACATGGTCCTGTTTCAGGGGTCCCCTTGAAGCCCAGAAAAGAGTTACGGTTCACTGAGCTCAAATCTGGCCAGCTGGAGATTAAATGGTCCTCGAAGTTCAACATTTCCATTGAGCCCGTGATCTACGTGGTACAGAGAAGGTGGAACTATGGGATCCATCCCAGCGAAGACGACGCGACACACTGGCAGACAGTGGCCCAGGTAAGTCCTTCTAGGCCTCTTTTGTGTTTCCCCTTGGAAAAATGTCCAGCACAGGCTCAAGACACCCGCAGCCAACTCCTGGTGTCTCTGGCTTGCAAGTGGGGTTACGGAAATCAACCGCGTATGCCAACAGCCTCGTGCCTGTGGATTGCAGAGAGAGTGAGCCCTGTACAGGGACTTGATATACCCAGAAAGCGAGCTTTTGCTTTATCAGCTAAAGATACATGGAGAAAGGAGACAGTGCTATCATCAGACTGCTCATGTTTCTTTCTTTCTTTCCAAGCGCTGTGTTTTCCCTGCTAAACTCAAATCCAACAGGTTACCACTAGTTGATCTGTTATTGAATGCTTTCCCCGATTTCTTTCTATTTGTCCTGCACGATAGCCTTTTCTTGGTAGCCTGGTGCAAGATGCAAATCACAGAGCTCCTTAGTGAGAAGCAGCCAACAGCTCTTGAATCTGTGCTAAGTGCTTTCTTCTTTGTCTTAGTGCACTTAACAATGAATACGCTAGCAGCTAGCAGAGCGGAAACACTCCTAGGGTTTATCCTACAGCCATTGCTTTCCCATCTATCTTGATGAGAAAAGCCAAATATTTGCTTTCTTTTTAAGAGCTGCTAAATGGATTTCCAGCTGCAAAGAACAAAAAATTACAAAAATAAAAGTAAAAACAAAAGAAGAGTGGATATAAAAACAAAGAATAAATTATCAATGTGAATTTGCCTCATGCTTTTTAAGAACTAAGTGTCCTCTTGCACAATTGTGATGATAAACTTGAGGCTTTTTAGGTAATTGGATGCAACTAGGAACCCCATTCATCAGTGAAATAAATCAGATTTGCATGTGTAAACACCATGCTGTCTCCCCAGTGTAAGACACTGAAACAGTAAATAAGATACAGAAATTACAGTAAAAGGGAAAGAAACTGCTCAAAAGGAAATTATGCAGTTTGATTAATCTTGCAACCTGATCTGGTAACCTGAGCAACTATTTTGAAGATAATATGTAAAACAACAACCATTGTTAAATTCCTCTCATCTTGTTTTGAAATCCTTTATGGCTATCATTTTGTTGTTGCTGCCAATTTTGCTTTTGTTGTTATTGTTTTTTTTTTTTTTTTGACTGTTTGCTTCTTGACTTTTCTGGTTTTTTTCTCTTTAAAATAATAAAAAGAAAAAAATTGTGATGATAGGGAAAATTTTTTGCCTTAAATAATGTTTTCAACAAGGATAAGATTGCTCTTCTTTCTTGGTAAGTCTAAAATCATTGAAGACTATTTGGGTGTTTGGAAAAACGTTTTCCCTCAACAGTCAAATCTTGAAAGGTTTGGTGTTTAACTAAAATAAGACTCCAAAGTAACTAAGTTCAAAGTTTGATGTAAAAGAAACACCTGACGTTAGAAAACAACCTGAGACCTCATCAAATACATGTAGTAATTACAATTTATATCTTTTTCCTGAAAGAGAATACACTGCAATAAGATTCAAAACTAATCAGAACAGTGATTAAAGTTCCACTTGATTTACATACCCTATACCCATAAATAATAGTATAGATTCATGTATAAATTTTTAAAAATTATATGAAGACCTGAAAACAGACCACCTGATCATCTTTCTTCCCCTTCATTGGGAAAAAGAAAGCTCTTGAGTTATTATTGTAATTGTTATACTTATCTGGCCAGTTAATGCTAATGTAATTCTCCTTCTTTGTAAAATGCTGTGGTGGACATTATTCTAACTTCAAGCTTTTAAAACTCACCACTAAGACTCTAAATGCCAAAGTCAGCCCAAAACGTTTCCCCAAATTCAGCCAAATCGGGTGGCAGTGTTTCATCCACATTCCTACTCTTTGCTTTCAGAAATGTTTATCTCTTTGATCACAGAAATACTCCTAAACACTAGGATCCTTCCTGTAAGTAAAGCGAGGTGCAAGCAGGCTCCAGTTTCATGCTGTTCCCCGGTTTCACCCTGGGAGCCCCAGTGAGCTGAGGCATTCGGCAGAGGTGAGAGCTGGGGCAGTGGGTCCCTCGTCCTGCCTCCCCGAAAGCAGCTGTGAAGTGGCAAGATTGACAAAGCCATTGCATCCCTTGAACCTGTAGTAGCAGTGATAGAAACAACTACTGACCTCTCCCAGGGTAGTTTTGCCTTTGGATACCTCTGGACAAGGGTTTCTTGTTGTTCCTGGGTATCCGTGGGAGGCATAGTTCCAGGGCCCCTCAAGCCTGAGGATGGTGCTCTAGCATTTGCATATTACTCTGCACATCCTTCGGGACCCTTCACATCCTCTCTCGATGATTCCTGGTAGCTACCACTACATGAATGCTTCATAAAGACTTGTCCCACTATTTGGAAGAAAACTAGAGAAAATAAGATAGACAGTGAAGGTCTCCAGGGGACTTGCTTTGAAATCTGTGTTTCTTTAAATTGTTTCCTTATAAACTATTTTGTTCTGTTTAATCTTATCCTCTTTAAGATAAAAAAACAAGTGTGTAGGACTGATAACCATATTACTAAGTTCTTATTGGATCACTGAGCAGAACTGTTGGCAGGGTCATTGTTTGAATGTCACTTTGTATGTTTTAATTTTGTAACTCGAGGGGCTGGGGATTTAGCTCAGTGGCATAAGCACCTGCCTTGCAAGTAGGCAGTCGTGAGTTCGATCCCTGGTACCAATAAAAAAGGAAAAAGACAAAAAAAAAAAATGTAACTCGAGCAACTATTTCTAAGATGATGGTCTGTAACTTATCGACTGGTGATTTCTTACTGTTTATTTTTCTGAAATTCTGTATTGTTTCTACCTTTTATTTCTGTTTTTTTTTCTCTTTAAATAAAAAAAAAAAGACTTGTCCCATTGTGTTTTCTAAGGCTCATGACAAGGAAAAATATCCATACATGCTCAGTATGTATGCAATTCTTTTCCAAATGTTTTCCTTCCAAGGCTGGTTGAATCAGGGATGTGACATGGATGGATACAGAGGATGGAATTCGCTTAACATAAAGATATAATCAGAAAATAGCACCATGCATGTCTACATAAGTATAATTTGTTACACTAAAAGGCACTTAGGTTTTAATTCCCTCAAAATATCCCCCAACCTTACCTCATACACAGTTACTTCACTGTTTTTGCCACATTCTGAAGCGATTCTTTAGAAAATATTATAAAAAATATGATGAATAGTCTCACTGAGAGCAATGCAAAAGAAAACACACTGTAAAAATATGATACTGTATTCTTATTACCGTATTCACTGAATCTGGTACTGTGTGACTTCTGGCTCCTCCCCAGGGCCTCGAACTCATACCACCTTTTAAGACTAGTATTGATGGGTCCTAGATTTAGCTCAGCAGTACAAGCACCTGCCTAACAAGTGTGAGGTGGTGGCTTTGATCCTTGGTGCCAAACAACGGTAGGATCAATTTTTCACAGATTTATGTGATCTACACTAATTTCTTCTTCTTTCTTTCTTTCTTTTTCTTTTCTTTCTTTCTTTTTTCTTTCTTTCTCTCTCTTCCTGTCATGCATCTATGTCTATTGATTATCTATCTATCTATCTATCTATCTATCTCTTGAGCTACAATTTACATCCAGAAATTCTTAACATTCTTCTAAATGTATGGAGTTTTTATTTTTCACACTTCCAGCATCATATGCAGAATTATATTTTGGCATCTAAGTTGAGTCATTTTACTTTCTATAACCTAAAAATTATTTTATATTCTTGCCTATAACATAATGATTTCATGTACATCCTTTACCAGTTAAGCCCTGAGGTGTTCAGTCCAACTCTCCAGAGCTGTGAACAGTCCAAGCATTCATGGTAGACTTTTACTTACAGAGATGCTTCACCCATGGGGGTGAAATCTGAAAATCGTCTTCACCTGTACTGACACTTTTCAAATCAGGCCCTGATGAGCTTGGTTAACCTATGTGGAGATCAAGGCTAAGTTGTACTGGGCTGTGTGTTTGTGAGTTTAGAAACAGACCCAACTGATGTGCTAGAGTAAAAGGTGACATGTTCTCTGGTCTCTGTGACATTTCCCCTCAGACCACAGATGAGCGGGTGCAGCTGACTGACATAAGACCCAGCAGGTGGTACCAGTTCCGGGTGGCTGCTGTCAACGTCCATGGTACCCGAGGCTTCACAGCACCAAGCAAACACTTCCGCTCTTCTAAAGGTCAGTGTTGCCTTCCTGCCATGGCACTGGACACAAGTCTTGCACCTGGGCACATGTGGGATGCAGGTCCCTATGTTCACAGTCTTTTGGGTGGCTGGCCAATGGGTGGTTTTGGTTTTCTTAGATGCCAAGTGGGACCAGATGTGTCTGGAAGCTGTCACAGAAATCCATGATGAAGGACGTCAGGGAGATCTCACCTCCTAGATGTCACAGGAAATAGTATACTGGGGTGCAGAAACTTAGAAAGGAGAATTTTCCATGATCCGCTTCTGGTGGGTTTCTTTAAGATATTCTGTATCAAGCAGTGTTCATTTAGTTTTAGGGGAAAAACACCAAGTTTTGGCTACTTTAGAAAGCATACCTTTTCTTGCAATGATTGTTAAGGTAAAATAATCTCTTAGTTTCATTCTATAGCATGCAGATCGTTTAACCTGCCCTGAGTCCTTTGATCATGGATATGCATTTGTTGTGTTCCTATGCATTTGCCATTTTAAAGCCTCCATGGAATTGGATGTATATGTTTACTCGGTCACACTGGGGCTTGTTTACTCTTTTGTAAGAGTTGCAGGGCAAAACCTGACCAGGTAATATTGCTTTCTCCGGGTTTATCTGTCTAGCTGTGCACGTGCAAGCAATTGCACACTTTTGTGTCAATTTAAATCTGCATGACTCATCCTGGTCTGGTTTCAGAGATACAGGTTAGCCTTGTTTGTTTACTAATCGTGTCTTATCTTCTTATGTGGAAGTTAAGTTCTTATTTCTTTTAAACTGAATGCATTATGGTACTAAGCAATGATGTAAGATTTACAACTTGAATGCTATAGCTGCTATAGGCTGCGATTTTCATTCCCTGACTAGAAATAGGTACACTTCAGTCCACTCTTTTCTCCCTGTGATATCAAATGTATAATACTGCTATTTAAAATATCTGTATAATCTCACATCTCAAGGGGGACAAAATTGTAATCAAGATAATTTAATATTTAAATTCTATCACAGTGCACTTTATAGTTTTTCTACTGTCTTTGAAACAAGTCATTTTTTAAAGGAAGAAAAGATGTGTGTGTGTGTGTACGTGTGTGTGTGTGTGTGTGTGTGTGTGTGTGTGTGTATGTGTGTGTGTTTTCCCTCTCAAGAAAGCAAGTACAACAGCTCAGCATGCTTTGAAGTGCAATTGTAAATAAACACATCAAGCCTTATCTGAAGACTGTCTCCAGCTGGTCTGGTTCTTGAGAGAGGCTGGAGAAGTGAATAATTAATGGTACATTAGGGGGCAGAAATCAATACAAGGCTCAAGGACTCTTCACCTTGCTTTCACGGTTCAAATGCAATCCAGACATATCCTGGTGAAAATGGGTTGCCATCTGTTCAGGGGCTTTCAGTGCTAGGCTTTACTCTTAGGAGGGGGCTGCTGTCTTGGACATCAAACAGCAACCGCCCTCTGTGGACAGATGTTGAATTACCTGTGAGAGTGGGAGTGCACCCTGCCTCCCCGAGGTGTGAAAGGTGACTGTTCCCCTGAGCCCTTGCAGTCAGGAGACACTAAGGACCTGATGAGACGCTTTCTCAGTCCCCAGAGCTGGTCATGCTAACTGAAAGCAGCAGATCTGTGGTATCACAGCATTTCCTAAAGTGTCCTAGCAATTTAGTAATCCAGAATTCTAGCTGCAGCCCTTGTATTTGAATTGACTTCCATTTTTTAAAAACATCGTGGTCACCATCAAAATGTTCCCACTTTTATGCAGACACCCAATTCGTGTTTACATACATCTCCTTGGGAAGAGCCTTCCAGGCTTTAGCTCTTGCACTCCTAGAAACAGAAAAAGTGAGCACAGCATTCACAGTAGATTCTGTTAAGTGTTCATGAAAGTTTTCACCCATTGTCACTTTGCCACCCAATGAATTTTAACCCAAAGAGTCATGCAGACATCAAGAACAGCTGATGTCACACTGAGTCCCTCAACCCCCCCAAAATCTTTCATTTTTCTTGCACGCATCGAATCCAGCCTATCATCAAATTTCATCAGCTCTGTCTCAGAATCGGTGCTGATGGTTTCTGACCAGGTCCACCATGACCATTCCGGACTGAGCCTCGCTCATTTTCAGAGTTCAGACTGCATGGTACAACCCAGATTTCTTATCTAGCAGACCTATTATTTTGGGCCTCACTTTAGTATACTTCCCTGACAAAATATCAACAGCTTCCTCTAACGGAAGTGCCTGAGAGCCATATAGGAACACTTTCAGGAAGACATTTCCAAAGAAAAATGTTTCTTTTTTAAAATTTTATTTAAAGAGAAAAAGACTCCCAGAAAAATGGTAGAAATAATACATAATTTCACAAAAAATAAATCACTACTTGATAAATTACATACTGTCCTCTTAGAAATAGTTGTTCAAGTTACAAAAGTAAAGCATACAAAGCAGACATTCAAACAGCGAGACTGAAAACAGTTTTATTCAATGATCCAACAAAAACAGTAATATGGTTATCAATCCTATACACTTAAACATATATGCAGTTATATCCTTTAGAGCACTTTCTTTTCCTCTCTTTTTAATAACAGTTACACATTTTGGGTTTTATTACTCCTACATTTCTTATTACTTTTTACACTAGAGATACAATGTGATATTTATAAATATGATTCTCATTTATTTCACTAATGAGGATAGGTCTCAAATTGCCTCCATTTACCTATGAAGGCTTCAAGATCATCCTTTTTATAGCTGGGTTATATTCCATTGTATAAAAATACAACATCTTTTTCATTTACTCTGCAGTTGATGAGCATCTTGGTTGTTTCCAGGATTTAACTATTACAAATTGTGCTGCTATGAACATGGGTGCCCATATATCACTGTGATATGACATTTTCAGTTTTTCTGGGGAAATACTCAGTAGGGGATTAGCTGGATTGAATGGAACTTCCAATCCTAGTCTTCTGAGAATTCTCCATACTGATTTCCATAGTAGTTGCACCAGTCTACACTCCCACCAACAGTGGAGCAGTAGTCCTTTTTCCCCCACAGCCTCCCAACACTTGTTGTCAGTTGATTTCTTGATGCCAGCTCTTCTTTCCACAGTGAGATGGAATTGCAATGCTGTTTTAATTTGCATTTCTTGAATGACCGGTAATGGTGAACATTTTTTCGTGTATTTATTTGCCATTTGCATATCTTCATCTGAGACCTGTGTGTTCATCTCTGATGCCCATTTTTGGAGAGGGTCTTTGAATTTGGGGGGCCTGATGTTTTTCAATTCTTTATATGTTCTGGATGTAAGTCCTTTGAGGGGTTGCTGGCTAAAATTCTTTCCCACTCTGTGGGTTTTCTTTTCACTCTGTGGGTGATTTCTTTTGAAGTGCAGAAACTTTTCAATAATATCAAATCTCAGTTGTTGATTCTTTGAAGTGTTTCCCGTGCAGTTTGCATTTTGTTCATAAATTCTCTGTCTACCCCTGTGTCTCCAAAATTTCTGCCTACCTTGTTTTCCAGTAGATTTAGTGTTTCTGTTTTAATATTTAGGTCTTTGATCCATTTAGACTTTAGTTTTTTGTGTAGTGATAGGCATGGATCTAGTTTAAGTCTTCAGCATGTAGAGAACATATTTTTGAAACACCATTTATTAAAGAGGCTATCCTTCTTCCAGTGAACATGTTTAGCCCCTTTGTCAGATATCAGGTGTATGAGTGTCTTTGTAGTAGTGTTTTTGTCTTCCAATTGTTCTACTGATCTTCAGGTTTATTTTTTTGCCAGTACATGCTGATTTTATCACTGTGGCTTTCTAGTATAGTTTCAAGTCAAGAATTGAGCTGCTGCCTGCCTTGCCTTTGTTGCCCAGAATTACCTTTGCTATTCTAGGTTTCTTCTGTTTCCAAATGAATTTTAGGAGTGTTTTCTCTAGATCTGTGAGGTATGTTAATGGTATTTTGACTGAGATTACATTAAACCTGTATAACAGTTTTGGGACTATGGCCATTTTGACAATGTTGGTTCTTCCTAGTCAAGAGCAAGGAATATCCTTCGATTTTCTAATATCCTTCAATCTCCTTTTTTATTATAGCATAATTTTCAGCATGTAGGTCTTTTACATTCTTAATTAGGTTGACTCCTAAGTATTTCATTTTTTTTAGATGCTGTTGTGAAGGGCAATATTTCTCAGTGAGCTTTTGTTTGTGTACAGAAATGCTATTGATTTTTTAGCATTGACTTTGTATCTAGCTACACTGCTGAGTTTGTTTATTACCTGTAGTTTTTTGGTCTTCTATATAGAATATCATGCATCTGCAAATAGTGATAATTTAACTTCTTCCTTTCCTATCTTTATTCCTTTTATTTCTCTCTCTTGTCTGATTGCCCTGGCTATTATTGCCAGAACTATATTGAACAGGGGTGGTGATAGTGGACATCTTTGTCTTGTTCCTGATTTTAGAGTGAAATCTTTCAGTTTCTGTCCATTTAGCATAATGTTGGCTGTTCGTTTGTCATAGATGGCCTTTAGGCAGACACTGTGTATTCCAAGATTCTGTAGCCTTTTTATTATGAATATATGTCGGACTTCCTTGAAAGCTTTCTCTGTATCTATTGAGATGACCATGTTTTTGGCTCTGTTGATGTGATGTATTACAGTTTTTAATTTGCATATGTCAAACCATCCTTGCATCCCTGGAATGAATCCCACTTGGTCATGATGTATAATCTTCGTGATAATTTGCTGCATTCGATTTGCCAATATTTTGGTCTTTCTCTGGTTTTGGTATGAGAGTAATACTTGCCTCTGGGAATGAATTAGGGAGGACTGCTTCCTTTTCAATTTCCTTGAAGGGTTTAAGGAGTATTGGCATGAAATCTTCTCTAAATTTCTTGTAGAATTCATCCGTGAATCCATCAGGACCTGGTCTTTTCTTTGCTGGTAAGTTTTTAATTTCAATAGCTGATAATGGGTTAATCAAAATTGTTATATTTTCTTGGTTGAGCTTTGGTAGTTCATATTTTCT